CTACATTTGCTTCAACACTTCAGCAATTATATATATATTTCCTGACAGCTCCATGGCCACACAGCTGGATAAGGAGCCCCCCCCCATATGCTATCAGGACCTAACTCATAAATTCACCTGCAGCCTTGGTGTTCCATTCTGTTTCCACACTCACTCCAGAGAGGGTAGCTTCTGCATATCTGGCTGGGAGTCAAAGCAAAAGCCAGCACATAATGTCAGTGGAGAGCGTCGTGTCAGGATGCTTTCTAGTGTTTTGGGGATTGTGCCATCCATACATGTCTTATGGGCACTTGTTGGCTCCTCTTTGGACTGTAGGTACAGCTTTGGTGATGGACACATAGTCCTTCAAGGCAAGCATTTCAGGCCATATTTGGGAGATCTTTCATCTTACATGTCTCAGATTGGGCCACATAAATTGTCTCACTCCAGCAGATCTGGTAGGCTCAGTTGAACTCTCGCCTCCTTTCAAGTTGGGTTTCTGGACTGATAGCAGTCAGAGGGCCTAGCTCAGAAGATATGTCCTGTATGAAAGCGAGTATAAACTTGTGGTTGGAGAAAAAGAATCTTCTGTAATGTTGTTCCCATCTGATGACCTAGTGGCTGGTGGTGCAGTCAGACACCAGCAAAGTAGTTGGAGAGCCCTAATTCAGGAGCAATGGGCTGAGGACCAATGGCCTTTTTCAAAGGTTTGAGATGGTGTCCAACATCCTGGAGTTAAGAAGAGACTTTCAGGCTCTTAGCCTTCAGTCACCTCATCCAGGGTGGACCTGTGCTGGTGAAGTTAGACAGCACAAAGACTGTGGCCTACATCTGGAAACAAGGGGGCACTCAGTGTCTCCCTCCTGAAGGAGGTTTCTCAATAGGCCCAAGTAAATATCCTGCAGCTATCTTTTGCCTATATGCTCAGTCTGAAGAATCTTTAGGACAAACTATTTGTCCAGGACAATCGTGTTCTACAATGAATGCTCCAGACTGCCACAGTCTTTCAAGAACTAACAGGTTTGATAATTTCTTCAAGAGGTAGACCTGTTCACATCCCCGGTCATAACCAAGTTGCCGAAGTCCTATTCCATGGTCCAGCATCCACAAGCAATTGGGGTGGAGGTGCTGATCGTAGAGTGGATCTCCAGGACAGCTTATGCCTTTCTGCCTCCCCCCTCTGATTCTCAGCTTCCTGCTGAGACTGTGGCAGAGGAAGGTGATAGTCTGGTGATCCCAGATTGGTCAAAGGGGCCTTGGTACCCTCTGCCCCTCCTATTGAGTGTTAAGGATCCATTACCTCTGACGGTAAGATCATATCTTCCCCAAGTCCCATTCGTCCAACATCTGACAGGCTCAAGCTCATGGCTTGAGTCTGGAGAGGCAGAGGCTAATAGTTCTTGGATGCTCTGTAAAGGTTTGGAATACTCTTATGAAAGCAAAGAAGAACCGCATTAACAGTGCCTATGGTAGAATGACATAAATTCACAGATTTGCTGCTCATCAAAGTTTTTTACACTGGACTCTTCACAAGTCTGTCACGTTCGGATGTTTCTGCAGGCAATGTTTCTTGATTTAGGTTTATGCATAAGTATGCTATGGGCCCTCATTTCAGCTATCTCTACCTTCAACGGCATACCATGGGCATCCAACACTTAATTATACAGTTCTTCAAGCTGCAACTTGGTTGAAACCTACCTAAGAGATTGTTGTTTGTGAAGTAGGATCTCCCATTGGTGTTGGGTTTGTTTGCATCAGATGCCTTCAAAGTGGCCCCCTATGGTATTTCCTACAGAAAACTGCTTTCCTGGTGGCAATTACATCAACCAGAAGAGTGTCCGTATTGGTGACCCTGGGGTTTAAAGAACCCTTTTTTACATTCTTCCCGGACTGGGTGTTACTTAGGCTGATGCTCAAGATCGTGCCTAAGTGACCTCAGAGTCCATATCACACAAAAAGTTGTCCTTCCTACATCCCTCTTGGGGAGTACCCAAGAAGTTAGCCCATCAGATGTGGGCCAGGTTTTAAAATGTTACATCAAGACGACATCTGGCATCAGGAGGTCGGAGCACTTTTTTGTCATTCCAGGTGGAGCGTGTAATGATTTCACAGCTTCCATCAAGATTGCCTCTTAGTGAAGCTCATCTCCTTGGCCTACAAGTTGAAAGGGTCGGTTGTGCCAGGGGTATTGCATCATTGTCTGCTCGAAGGGTCTTGAGTCTCATTACTGTATAGAAGCAATCTTAATGACAGTTGAGCTTGGCAGAGGCATTCTGGCTTCTGCTTTTAGCCAGAATTGAGGAGTGTGTACTATTATCCCTCCCCTATGTGGCTAGTTAGTTTCCAACTATGCTGACATGAAGCTGTCAGGAAAACTGACAACTGAATGACAAATACTTACCGTTATTTTCCTTTCTGATGCGCTCCATGTGTCAGCACCTGTGGTAGTGAGCTCTCTGATCCACAACCTGGGGTTCCCCAGGGTGCGGAGTCGCAGCTCCCAGGTACACCCAGCTGAGGAGAGGAGACCGCTAGCGGGAGCAGGGTACAATGGGAGAAGACACAGGGAATCCAGTAGGCAAGCCGAGGTCAGGACAGGCGGCAAACAAGCAAGGTCAGGAACGAAGCCGGGGTTGGTACACAGACTATAAGCAAGGTCAGGAATGAAGCCGGGGTCGGTACACAGATGGACTATACAGGATTCACAGGAGAAACACGTGGGAGCTCCGACAACAGACGTTGCTCAGGCAAAGTGGGACAGACTGAGCATGTCTTAAATAGACAAGCCAGCTCGAAGGCGGGCCAGGAAGTAATGGAAGGGAAGGACATAAAGCCAGAGGATAGCAGACGACGCCCACAGGTGAGTACAGACAACACACATGTGAAGGAAACAGGAACAGCAAGGAGGTAAGACTAAACAAACAAGAGGCTGCAGGCTAACTTGTGACACCATGTCAGCATAATTCCCACCTAGCTTGGTAGGACTAGTTACTGAACGCCAAGGCTGCAGGTGGGCTTACATTTATGAGTTAGGTCCTGATAGCGTTGGGGGGGCTTACCCAGCTGTGCTGACATGGAGCGCGTCAGTAAGGAAAATTACAATATTTGTCATTCAATTTTTCGATATATCATTTGTCAAAATGAAACATTTGGACTACATATGGTTTTCTTAAAGAATTTCATTAACTACTTGCTGACAACCCCATGTATTTATACTGTGGGGCAGCGGCTCTTCCGTGCCGGATCACATATACAGTTGTGTTCAAAATAATAGCAGTGTGTTGAAAAAAGTGAATAAAGCTCAAAATCCTTCTAATAGCTTTTATTTCCATACACACAAATGCATTGGGAACACTACACATTCTATTCCAAATCAAAACAGGAAGAAAAATATATCAAATTTGTGTTGTTCCTCTAAAAAAATTGAAGAAAAATGAATATTAAACTGTTCAAAAAAAAAGCAGTGTTTGTATTCTTCTTTACAAACTCAAACATTCACTATATAAACTGAAAGATGTTTGAAGATTTTGCTTTCCTTTGAATCACTTAATTAATATTTAGTTGTATAACCACTGTTTCTGAGAACTGCTGTACATCTGTGTTGCATGGAGTCAACCAACTTCTGGCACCTGTGAATAGGTATTCCAGCCCAGGATGATTGGACTACATTCCACAGTTTCTTCTCTACTTCTTGGTTTTGCCTCAGAAACTGCATTTTGTATGTCATTATAGCTGAGCAGCCTATCATTTCTGCACTTCTTTATATGTTTTCCCCTCTCCAATCAACTTTTTAATCAAGGTGCGCTGTTCTTCTGAACAATGTCTGGAACGACCAATTTTCCTCAGAATTTCAGAGAGAAATGCACTGTAACCAGCATGTACAACATTTGCTGCCTTCCTTCCTTAAATAAAGGCACCTGTTTTTCAAAGAATGAATGACCTCACTAATAGAACTCCACACTGCTATTATTTTGAACATGCCCCTTTCAATTAGTGATTCAATTCCACAGAATCAGCAGCATACATGTCATGACTGTTGGGTCTGTTGGATTTCTATTACTCTACTACACCTGCTAGTAAATTATTTGCCATGTAGAAATATAATTTCTACCAAAAACAGTGATTGATCAGGTTAGTGATGTCTGACTGCTATTATTTTGAACACAACTGTACACTGTATTGCCAAAAGTATTGGGACGCCTGCCTTTACATGCACATGAACTTTAATGGCATCCCAGTCTGAGTCCGTAGGGTTCAATATTGAGTTGGCCAACCCTTTGCAGCTACAACAGTTTCAACTCTTCTGGGAAGGCTGTCCACAATGTTTAGGAGTGTGTCTATGGGAATGTTTGACCATTCTTCCAGAAGTGCATTTGTGAGGTCAGGCATTGTCAAACTAAAAGGCTTGGCTAACAGTCTCTGCCCTAATTCATCCCAAAGGTGTTCTATTGGGTTGAGATCAGGCCTCTGTGCAGGCCAGTCAAGTTCCTCCATCCCAATCTCACTCATCCATGTCTTTTTGGACCTTGCTTTGTGCACTGGTACACAGTCATGTTGGAACTGGAAGGGGTCATCCCCAAACTGTTCCCACAAAGATGGGAGCATGAAATTATACAAAATATCTTGGTATGCTGACGCCTTGTGAGTTCCCTTCACTGGAACTAAGGGGTCAAGCCCAATCCCTGATACACAGCCCCACACCATAATCCTCCCTCCACCAAACTTTACACTTGGCACAATGCACTCAGGCAAGTACTGTTCTTCTGGCAACTGCCAAACCCAAACACATCATCAGATTGCCAGACAGAGAAGCGTGATTTGTCACCCTAAAGAACACATCTCCACTGCTCTAGAGTCCAGTGGCAGCGTGCTTTACACCACAGCATGTGACACTTTGCATTGCACTTAATGATGTAAGGCTTGGATGCAGCTGCTAAGTCATGGAAACCCATTCCATGAAGCTCTCTACACACTGTTGTTGTGCTAATCTGAATGTTACATGAAGTTTGGAGGTCTTTAGCTATTGACTCTGTAGACAGTTGTCGACTTCTGCGCACTGTGCACTTCAGTATGCGCTGACCCTGCTCTGTCATTTTACATGGCCTACCACTTTGTGGCTGCGTTGCTGTTGTTTGCAGTTGCTTCCACTTTGTTATAATACCACTAACAGTTGACTGTGGAATATTTAGCAGCAAGGAAATTTCACGGATGGACTTATTGCACAGGTGGAAACCTATCATGGTACTACGCTTGAATTCACTGAGCTCCTGAGAGCGACCCATTCTTTCACAAATATTTGTAGAAGCAGTCTGCATGCCTAGGTGCTTGATTTTATACACATGTGGTCATGGAGGTGATTGAAATACCTGAATCCAATGATTTAGTGGGGTGTCCCAATACTTTTGGCATTATAGTATACACATACACACGCACACACACGCATTCTATATACCTTTTATTTTTCTTTTATTAGAAGTGATCAAAACATCTCTGTTCTCAGCTACATAAGGCAGCATATGGGTTTTGGTTTACATGATCTGGCATTTCCGGGTAGGAGGTGCATGCCGCCTCAGCTGTGCTGTCATTCGCTACAGCACAAGACGATCAGTGACCAAAGATTTATAGCCGGAACCCGCTGAGCGAATGACAGAAGAGATCCCTCTGTTGGTAAACAACATAGGGCTCTTTACCACTGCACCAATGTAGCTGCTTTTTTTTCTCTGCAAAGCAGGGAGTAAAACCAGTCACATACATTAGTAAAAGCAGTATACTTTTATATTAGCACTTATCACTGTATTACTGTCACTGGGGATTTCAGTGTCAAGTAGCCAGTTCCCAAAAAATGTCAGATTGCCTGCCACAGTATCACAGTCCCACTAAGTCGCTGATCATCGCCATTACTAGTATAAAAAAAATAAAAATCCCATTATATATTCCATAATTTGTAAATGCTATAACTTGGGTATGTTTTCTGTTTTATATTTGTATTTAAAAAAATATTTTTTTCACAATTTTGTCTTTTTTGATTATATAGTACAAAATAAAAAAAAAAACCTAGTGGGGATCAAATACCACCAAAAGAAGGCTCTATTTGTGTGAAACAAAAATGCTAGAAATTTCATTTGGGTACAGCGTTGCATGACCACACAATTGCCAGTTAAAGTAGTGCAATGCTCAATAGCAAAAAAGGGCCTAGTCATGAAGGTAGTAAAATCTTCCGGAGTTTGTGATTAACATAGTCAGTGACTACTTAACATTAAGCAACTATTGTGCAATATAGCATAAACAGTGCAGTGTTCAGGAGTACGTCACATACTGTACAGCCCAAGATGCAGAGTGAAGAAGTCAGTTAATGTATCCTACAATTACAAGCATCGTTACTGGAAAAATTGGCATGACAAATATTTAATGCACTAGGTACAGAGCAACGCCATTAATTACATAGTGAATACATATAGATGAATACATACAATCACATAGAAAATAACGTGACTTCATATGATCTTATAGAAAACACTTCCATCCTTTGTATGGTGTTTTTTCTTTTGGTTTATCTTCATACATGGATAGTCAGTGAGTATACAAAGTTGATCTTAAGTACATAAATAACAGAGTATTGTTTTACATTAGATCATATCCCTATTACCTTTCTTTACTTTAAAATGTGTTCCATTTATTTAACTTTGAAAGACAGGGATAGTGTGATCTTAGAGATCCTATACATCAGTTAGTAATATTGAGTCAAACTTACCACTTGGGATCACAAGCTTGTTTGCCCTCCAATTATTTTTTTTACTGACATTTGCAATACGCACCACTTAGACATAGAAAGTAGGCCACCTCAACTGAGTACCTATGCCAGGCTTAGGCTTGGCTAAACCTTGGATAGGTTTTAAAGTGAGGCAGCCTACCCTAGTTCATTGAGAAAAAAACTTTAGGAATGCACATCTGCTGGCTGGGACATTTTAGCTGACCTTTCTTGCCGTTAAAGGTTGCTCTGGGTGGGGGGAAGCTGTAAAATCACATGACCAAGTGCAAGGTATAGAGGGGGAAGCATCACAATACTGATGCTTTCACTATCATGTTCATTTACCATAGACAAATATCAGTAAACTGGGGGTCACAGAGTTTTCTCTCCTTTGTTAAACCCTCAGGCACGTTTCTGAATGTGAATATCCATCCAGATAGATCAATGGCTGCCTGGGAGAGGGAGAACCATAATGTATTAGGGGCTTAGCCATGTATGATATTATACCCACTGTCAAGAACCTAAAGACCACTCTGCAAAGTAACAGGATTTACATAAATGTGTTATTCCTGGGAAAGAATCTAAGCCTATGAAGTAGATGCTGTTCCTGGATGATGCTTAAAAAAAGATGCTGATGGCCATGCTCAGAGAAAGGAGGACAAAAGTGTTGACAGGGTTGTTGTGATCTGTTTGAAAGGTTAAAAACTTACTTATATTACACTTTACTACACTATATTTTACTTGGCATGCACGCCTTTAACAAATATCTGATGCCAGATCCACTGGTGAAATGCTGCTTAAAGCTTACTGAAAACTTTGCAAGCACTTGTTTGCTGATGCACATTCAGGGCCCAATGAAATCAATGAAAACACATGAAAACTCATTTCAGTATGTAAGCTGGTCTCCATGCATTGCAATATTTCAGACATTACAATAGATGTGAAAGATATCTAAAGCTGGCAACTAATATTTCTATATGATTGTACAGTCCCTTTATAATCTCCTTTAGAATTTCTAACTACTGTGTTTTTTAAGGACCTACGTGAACAATCGAATAATTTTTTTTCCAGTCAGGTAGGCCATTGCTCAAGTAATTGTTCATCTAAAGGAGATTTACAGTAACAATGTAACTTTCCTGGCAATTTTAAAATAAACAGAAATAGTTCTCATTCACATTTGGCTGACCATTTTCACATATTTATATAAAGCACATTCAAATCATTATTCCTTCTAACTTTGTTTTCTTCTACATTAGTAACATGTTTGAAACTGAGGAAGCTTTGTTTTACAGTAGGATGGCAAACTTTACACTTCCCATTTAGAGCAAGGTATTAAAAGGAAAGCTCAAGAATTCTTGGCAGTAAGTTTGAAATAGAAAACAATGTTGGATAGACTTTAATTACTTATTTTTCTTGACATCTGATGGCCACCTGCAAGTCAAGAAAGCTATTAAGGAATTTCAATTTCTTTTTGCATTTTTTTTGCACAGGATATGCTGTCCTCCTTGTCATGCATGATGTGGGAAACTTGTGATGTTTAAAAATTAACATTTTTCAGATTTTCATAAAGGATCCAAAAGAATGTATACACATGTTGTTTTCTAACTTATTTTATTATTTTGTTTGGGAACCATAATATGAAATTTAGAGACAGTAGTGCTCAGTAAACATTTAGTCATTATCAGCATAATTAGAATTTGATAGCTTGATCATCCCAGGAGATCTGGAAAGTGTGAAATAATTTTGAACAAGTATAAAAAATATCTAGTAAGATTTATTTGGGGCAGTTTAATAAAGCATTTGCTTTGGTAGTGCTGGCGTATTTGAAAAATTTGCTCCTAACTTATGAAAGCATTACAACAGTTTCGTTAACAGTTCTAATGCATGCAACAGATTAAAGTAGCTCTTATTTGCGCTACTTTCAAAATCTCTTGCTATGTCTGCAACAAATTTCTACCAAAAATTTCCGGTCAGTTCATAGATGAGGAAACTGGAGGTAAATAAATATGACCCTAAGCTGGCATATAGAGTCAGATTAGAGTGCTCAGAATTGGACAACAGTGTAGTACAGGACAAGGCATGTTTTCTTTGTTTAAAAGAAAAAAAAAAAGAAAAGGGCCGGGCATGTTCACTTGCAACACTCCCCCCTTGTCACTGGTGCTGGAATGCTGTGAGTTGCATAGCTCTTTTGGTGCTATAATGCCAGCATTCTAGCAACAAATGTAGTGGGGCTGAACAATGACAGTGGACAGAGCCTGATGGGTGATGTTGAGAGACTAGTTTTTCATGAAGTGATTCGCTGTCATTGACAAGGGACAACAGTGAGTGGATTCCATACCTGCTAGCGGGCTGACTCGTGGCTATGATATCTGCCCACTGCCATCCTCTGTCAATCATTAGGAAGACCAAGCTCATGGGGATCTAGTCTCTCAACTTTCCCATCAGGTTTCACCCTCTGTCAAGCTAAGGGGTGGGGGACCTGATGAGGAACTAGTGTCTCAACACTAGACACCTTCCACTCAACAGCTCAACTCTACTGGCAGACTTTCCAGTCACTGAAGAGGCTTTGTTGCTGTGCCTCTCTACATGACAGGTGACATTGCAGGGCACGTTGCTCAGTAATGTTGATCCTGTGATTTTAGCTGGCTCAGTGCTACACAGCTGCACTGAGGATGGAGGAGTATGCAGTAAGAACACTCCAGCCTCAGTACTGTCCCCACATCTCCATTCTTCAAGTTCATGAACAGGTTTCTGATATATACATGGATCTATTGAATGTGTTTGTTTCATGCATTATTTAGTAAATTAAGTATGACACATGAAACAGACAAGCCAGCTGCAGTTAGACCTCAATGCACATCAGTCACCCAAAAGTTGCACTAAAAAAATAATTTCCATTGTTCAACACCCAAACTCTCTCACTGCATAAAGTTGTGACATTAGAAAACATCATCTACGGCACCTACTGTGGAGTGGTGGAAAACCACCTTCTCAAGAAAGTAAGCATTCACATGATTGTACTGTATACTGTGGTGAGATAGAGGGAGGCCAACATAAATAAAGAACCAAAAAAAAAATATTATTAAAAGCTAACAATTTAAGAATGCCTCCATTAACCCCCACATCCCAACTAATACATAAGATGTTGCAGTTGACATTGTGCCCTAAATGCATACGCATTAAGCACTGATATAATTATGCTCAATGTTTTTCAGAATTGCTGCAATGGAAAATCTTTGGAAACTACATTGTTACTTAAATTCCAATTCTCACAAAAACAGCATAACTTTAATGCAACACTAATATTTCATGCTGAAAAATGTATTTTTCCATGTCATTGCAGTGTAGAGATAATGAAAGGGAAGCAAGCTCTTTTGTTTCAGGCATTACAACTCCTCTTTCTATGCAAAAAAGTGTAGTAAGAATGCATTGTCAATTATATTTTGAGGTATATATCAGGGCTGCACTATTAATGTACTCAGTAGGAATAAGTAAAAATTCTGATTTTTTTTTTTTTAATTTCGACCCATCCCAATTGAAATCCTATAAAATAAAAAAAAATAAACAAACGCATCCAGTGGAAATTCACTTCTACAGGGCATGGTGGCAGGCTTTCGTACCTACCAATTTCGACATTCCCTGTTTTTGATATGCCAAGAAGCACAGCTTT